GGAGTCCAGGCGACGCGCGCGGGTCGCCCGCGGCTGCGAGGACAACGAAAAGTGACGGGTGACAGCGGGCGAGGCGCTGGGCACAGCGCGCGGGCGTCGGGCAGCTCCCGGATGCGGGACGCAGGGGGGTCCCCGCGACACGCGCTGGTGGGCCCGAAAGGATTCCAGCGACGCCCGCGGGTCGTCCGCGGCGCGGTACCAAACAAGTGGACTGTCAACAGAAAGCAAAGGTTCGGGCGGGCCATCATGAAGCCACGAAGCGCGTCATCGGTGTGTCAAAATGCACGGGGAATCGCATGCGGACCCTGTCACGGGGGCCTTCGGTGGAGCTCCTTATGAGGCCACGGAACGTGAGAGGGGTGTCCCGAAATACACGTGCTGTGGGCGGGGAGCCGCATGTGGACCTTGCCACTGGGCTCTTCGATGGAGCTCCCTCTGGGGTCACGAAACGTGTGAGCGGTGCGCCGACATGGACATGCGGTGGGTGGTGAACCGCATGTGGGCCGTGCCACTGGGGCCTTGGGTGGAGCTATCTATGGGGCCACGAAACGTGTGAGGGGTGTGCCAAAATGGGCGGGCGGGGAGCCGCATGTGGACCCTGCCATTGGGGCCGTTGGTGGAAGTCTCCATAAGTCTACCAACCGTCTGAATGGTGCGCCGAAATGGACATGCGGAGGGCGTGGAGCCACTTGCGGACCCTGTAGCCTGCCACTGGGGCATTGGGTGGAACTCCCTATGGAGCCATGAACCGTGAGCAGGGTGTGCCGAAATGGACATGCGGTGGGCGTGGAGCCGCATCTGGACCCTCCCACTGGCGCCTTCGGTGGAACTCCCAACGTGTGAGGGTTGTGCAGTGACGGGTGCGGACTGGAGGGAGGAGGAGGAGGAGGAGGAGGAGGAGGAGGAGGAGGAGGAGGGGGAGGAGGAAGAGGAGGAGAGAGAGGAAGGAGGAAGGACGCGGGGCGCCCTCTTCAGAACGAGAACCCGACACAACTGGATGGTTGGGAACAAAAGTCTACGCTGGCGATGAACAGTTCGTGCTGATCAACGCTTGAGGCACTGACCCACCTGGCGAAGATCCTGATCCTACTGCTCTTGCCGGCCATCTCCAATCGGCCAGGGCGCCAGCCTAATCCGCAAGAGCTGACCTGCAGATCAAGCCAAATCCGAAGCAACAACGATCGAAGAGAATGGCAGGTTCCTGGGGGATGCGTGCAGCCTCCGTTGGTGCCCCGGGGCGCTTCGCGCACCCCAGACCGACCAGCCACAACTTGGGGAGCTGCGCTCCGTACCCGCCTGGGCGAACCTATCGCAGGGACGATCTCTCCGGATGGGTGGCGAAGCCGATGGCCGGGAGAAGGAGGACGAGGAGGAGGAGGAGGAGGAGGAGGACGAGGAGGAGGAGGAGGAGGCGAAGGATGAGGAGGAAGGAGGGGGAGGAGTCTGAGGGGTCTGAGGAGGATTCTGAGGAGGATTCTGAGGAGGAGTCTGAGGAAGAGGAGGAGGAGGAGGAGGAGGTGGAGAAGGAGGAGGAGGAGGAGGAGGAGGAGGAGGAGGAGTCTGAGTCTGACAAGGAGGAGGAGGACAAAACCACGTTATTAGAAGAGGAGACATACATCGGCACACCAAGGCACTCTCGGAGGCCCGTGCGGAGTTCTCGGGTCAGCCCCCCCCGTCACCCCTCCTGGGCGGCCCCACGCGCGCCGCCCCTGGCGCGCCCCGCGCGCCAGGAAAGGGGGCCTCCGTGTCCCGGGGCTGGCATCCCGAGGCACCTCGCAACGGCGACGGCGGCGCAGATGAGACGCTTGGGGCGCGTCTGTGCTGCCATTCATCTTGCGAGGTCCGACTGCATGCGAATTCATGCGCGCACCTCGGGCACTTCCCTTCGGGCTGCGTCGCCCAGGTGTTCTGTCCGTGCAACAAAAAAAAACGATGACGACTAAGACGACGACGACGACGACGACGACGACGACGACGACGACGACGACGACGACAACGACAACGACGACAACGACGGACGACGACGACGACGGCGACGACGACGACGAGGACGAGGACGAGGACGACGAAAACGGCGCGCCAGGAGGGGGGGCTCCCGCTCGGAACTTCCAGTAGTTCATTACGTTTGTGCCGAGCCTTGGTCTTCGAGCTCTGTCGTGCTCTACTTCCGTGGCCACCCCCAGGCGACGACAGATCTGTCAGGGTGAGCTTGCGCTTCGCTCGTCATGTACACGTTGGCCTTCGCCAGGGAGCACGGTACAGGCGACACCTCCAGCACATCGCATTCGCTGCCTCGCATCTCGGGGGCGCGCAGGCATGGATTAGCGATCCCATGGATTTGGCTCGCGGTCGCCAAATCCATAGATTAGGGGAGGTGCCCTCCCCAACACGCGGCCAGTGCCGCCTCGTTCGGCGGCGGACATCCGCGATCTCCCATGGGAACGGGACCCGCCGCTAATCCACGCCCCCTTGATCCATGTTTGAGATCGCCTGAGCGTCGTAAACGGCCACACGAGACAACCCCCCTGGCCCCCGAAACCCTCCGGCACGACAAATTCTCGGACGTGCAGTGCTCTGGCAGCGACCCTGACAAACACGTTGCGCATGGGGAGGAGGAGGAGAGGAGGAGGAGGAGGAGGAGGAGGAGAAGGAGGAGGAGGAGGACTGGGGCTCTGCTTTTTCACACCCGCGCGCGGCGGCCAGCTGTCTTTCGCGCGGGCGGGAGCGCGCGGCCCAAGGGAAACTGCACCTGCACAATGATGGGCCTGTTTTCCGCCACCACCACCATAGGTTGGATGTGGAGGGGAACCTCCTCCTCCTCCTCCTCCTCCTCCTCTCCTCCTCCTCCTCCCCCCTCCAACTTATGGTGATGGAGGTGGAAAACAGGCCCATCACACGAGCGCCTACGGCGCAGGCGCAGGGGAACGCAAATCCGCCAGCCACACTGCGGAGCACCAGCGCTGGACATGGACTCCCCTCTCCACGCCCCTTCCCCATCTCCGAAGGCTCCTGCTCATGCCGCTCCTCTTCTCTACATCCAGGAAGAGCGTATGTAGAATACGATGCACCATCGGGCCCCAGTGAGCGGGGTTATTCTACAAGGAGATGTCCTCGTGCTCTTTATCGTCCAAATGCTGGGATAGCAAAGAGTCTGAAGGGAAGCAAGTATGATACGAGTGGCTGGGTATGCGTGAGTCATGAGCGAGCCTGGGCGGGATTAGTCTGAGTGTCGGGGTGGCTAAGTATGAGTGGCTCTGAGTACTGGCGAGTCTGACTATGGTTGGGCATGGGTGTGTATGTCTAAACATTGGTGTGTGAGGGTCTAAATGCAAATTTCGCCGAAACAACTCCTCCGCCTCCCCTTCATGCGGCGGCGCCTCCGACATGATTAGTTAGATATGTGAGGCCCACTGGCGAGACACAAATATTGAGTATGCTGCCTCAGGGGCTCTGGTAAGCATGGCAAGAACAATCGGCGTCGCATCGGAAAATCGGGTCGACTCGAAATGTGCTTCGGATGGGGCTGCATCGACACAAAGTCGAAATGCGAATCAGATCGGCTGCACCTGGATGCACAGCAATGCCATGCAAGCGTCAGGCCGCAACGGATTGTCTGGACATCGGAATCGATTTGGATCGAGCTAGGTGGATATCCGGAGCCTGGATCGACGATGATCGACCGGATCGACCAGACCGAGATGGAGCCCGGCAGGGTGAGCGAAAAGGAGGACAGACGGATAATGAGAAGAAGAGGAAGAAGAAGAAGAAGAAGAAGAAGAAGAAGAAGACGGGAGGTGAGAAGGAAGACGAAGAAAAAGGGCGAGAGGGAGAGGGAGCAAAGGAGATGGAGGCGACAAGGATGGAGGACACGATAAAGGAGTTGTATTCGAGGAGGAGGGGGGGAGGGGGAAAAGGGGGCGGCTGCGCCATCCGCGGTATCAATGTCGAGAGATCGCAGGAGGAAGAGGAGCCATCTCCCCCGCTCGCTGGAGACCCTAACACAGCACAGCGAAGCAGTGGAGGGTGAGGCGAGGGGGGGGCGGGCCATCTGCGAAGAAGAAGAAGCGAAGGGGACCTCTCAGGAGGGATCCGAGGCTTGAAGCCAGGCTTCTCAGAGTCCCAGGGGGCAGAGTGGTTGCCTTAGGTCGGGTCTGTCCCCCTACAACGGGGTTTTGGGCGAAACGTGAAAAAATACTCGAACAATGCTCCCAAAATGCTCAAAATAGCTAAAGATAGTCACGAGGCTATTTCTTGACTATTTTTGAATATCCCTCCTGTAGAGGGACAGGCCCGACTTAATAATGGTTGCCTCTCAGCGACCCCGCCGCCGTCGTCGAGAGGGCACGACAAGGGGGCGGTCAGCTCACGGGGGAGGCGCACGAGCTCGAAGCGGAGATATACATCGCCGATAAATCGGCGACAGGCCCCGACAGCGAAACCCTCGGCGGCGGCGGCGGCCCCTGCGACGCGCCAAGCCTCTCGAGCTTACAGCGCGTCGCTCCACCTCGCGGGACGGGCGCCCGGGAGGGCCTCGACGTGCGGATCCTTCGGGACGGGGACGTGCTCGGCGTGTCGCGCCGAGGCGTGGTGGGCCAGAACCGGTGGCGCGGCACTCCGAGCCAGCGCTCCCGACCGCAGACAAGCCCGCCTCCGTCGTGCCACCGCCCTCCCTGCGCCGCCGAGAGCGCAGCAACCATCGCCTTGGCCGACGGGGCGCGGCCAAAGCGAGGGGAGGGCAACGGCATGGGCACCTCGTCCTCCCCCGAAAGACGGCCCGAAAGGGGCCCGAAGACCTCGAGAGGCATCGAAGCGACCCACCGAAGACCCGTGGCAACCTCTTGGAGAGAAGATGGCCTGACGTCAGGCCTGTCCCTCTGCAGGGGGAGTGTTGAAAAATAGTCCGGGGACGATGTTCTGACCATTTTGAAAGATTTGGGGAATCTTTTTGGAATCTATGTTCAATGTTTTGCCCCAAATCCCCCTGGGGGGACAGGCCCGACCTAAAGATAGGCGGAGGCCTCCGGAGGGCCTCCGGAAGTCGGGGCCTCGAGGGGCCCCAGAGGCAGCGGGGGGGCCTCCGGAGGCGCAAGGACAGCAGGGCACGTGCAGGAGACCACGCGGCCGTCCTCGAGTCCAGGCGGCTTCTGGGGAGGGCGAAGCCCGCCAGACAGGCGCACGCTGGTCCGGGCCTCGAGGGGTCCCAGAGGCAGCCGGAGCCTCCGGATGCACAAGGACAGCAAGGCACGTGCAGGGTACCACGCGGCCGTCTTCGAGGAGAGGGGGGGCTTCTGCGGAGGAGCATCGTTCAACTGATCCCCATCCCTACCAGCGTCCCAGACCCCCTCGAGTCATGAACAAATCACGACGGAAGGTTTTTCGATATGTTCGGCCTCTGGAGGTCCTTACCGGCCCTCGGGAGCGTCAAAAACGACTCGGGATGAAAAACTGGTCCTGGCGACTAGGTCCAGACCTCTGGGGGTCGCGTAATGAAAAAGTCATGACGTCGGGGGTCTGGGGTGGGCTGGGCCCCACTGGCCGAGTCACCCCCCTGGAAGGGGATGCAGGCTGCTCTCTTGAAGGTTTCGAGGGGCACATCGCCGACTCAGGTGGTGAGACGGTGGGGCTCGAGGTGCGGATGGGGATAGGGATGGGGATCGGTTAACTGGCCATCGCTCGGACGTCCATTCGCTGTGCTTTTTTCGGTTTCGCGCGTGGGTTTTCGCCAACTGATCAAGGATGCTCTTCGATGGTCCTCGTCGAAGGAAAAATGCACACGTCCGAGCGATGCCAAATTGAAGGACACCGAGGGGAGGGCGAAGCCCGTTAGACGGGCGCACATTGCCCGAGCCGGCCTGTCTGCCTCAGGGCTGGCAAAGCCCCGACCTCGGGCGGGCTGCATCAGCAGCGCTCGCGGTCGAAGGCCGCTCTGGGCGGCAGTTCGGGGTGCATCGACCAGGCAGGTGTGCCAGGAGTGGAAAAACGCAAAGCATAGACTTTCGGAGATTCGCGCGTTTTGTTGTTTGGGCACGGCGCTGGGCACCGTCGACCCGAGACATGTGCGCGGAGCTCCAACAGTTTATGCGTACGCCGCTTCCGGACGACGCGCCCTTGTCACGTACCGAGACGCTCCCCGGCCTAGTGGTGGACGCGGGCGTCGACGAACGCGTTCCAATCCTCACGTTGTATCGTCGGGGGCCCTTTTTCTGTCCCGTCGCGCCGCTACCTGCGTCGAACACATGTCGAATCTGCGTCGAATCTGGGTCGAACTCACGTCGGGCACGAGAGCATCGCACCAGCTACAGGACGAGCCAAGTCCCCCGAAAATGCAACGTACCGGTCCTTCACCGAGACTCTTCTCCTCGCCATCGGGCTGGACTCGTTCTGGGCCTCCTCAAGGCACTGTGCGAGCGACTCTGCACGCCTTCGGCTCTCCTTGCCGACACTGTTGATGCCGTTCCAATTGTCGGCTTGGAGCTTCTTCATGAGCCTCAGGAGATCGGAGGAGGGCCAGTCGAGACAACGGCTGCCCTCCCTGGCCGTTTTCGTCCTATGTAGGCCTCCCGGAGGCTTCTGTCGTCGTCACGGCTGGATCCGCCTCGACAAACGAGTCAGGATGAACCCCAGGAGGGATCCGGGAACCGACGTGAAGGGCATTTGGACCCGGGGGGACAGCCTCCATTGCCTCAGCTGGCGCAGGAACTTTTGAGAAAGACGAGCGCAGGATCAGCAGCAGCACGAGGAGGAGGGGGCAGGACAGAGGAGAGGGGCGAAGGAGGGGAGGGGCTGCACTCAGCGGGGCAGACTCAGCATCACATGCCTTGCACCACAGATATGATTGTTACATCTAAGTTCTCCTTTTCAATGTGAGCCAACGTGGGCCCTAAACAATGTGCCTTTAGACATCAGTGCAATGCACTCTATATGGAGGGGATCTGACCCCCCGTGATGCAATCGACTGTGTGAAATACAGGTTGTTCAACCCACAGTGTGCAACTAATGTCGTGCACTGAGCGTGGTGCGACCTATGAGGCACAGCAACTGTTGACCAATAGATGTGAATCGGTCTATGTGGGGCAATATATGTGGTGCAACCTATGTGGTGCAAACTGTGGTATGACATCGATGTTGTGCCCTCTACGTCGTACAGCCCTTGTGGTGCAACCTAAGTAGAAGCAATACATGTGGAGCGATACATGTTGCGCAATGTTTACTGTGTAAACTAAAGTGTGCAATGTGTGTGGTGATATACATTGTGCAGGACAGGTAGCCCAATATATGTGATACACACGATGTGAAGCCATCGATGCGGTGTAATCTAGGTTGTGCAATCTAGTGAATTATATGTGCGGTGCGAACTATGAATTACAACATCTGCTGCGCAGTATTTGTGGAGCAATCTATGCTGTGCAGTTCACTTGCCGAACTTGAAGTTGTCAACTCCACTGCTCGCGCAATCATCCCACCCACCCACCCGTGACTTGGTTTGCAAAACCCATGCGGGACCGAGCACAGATATCGCTCCGGGGTCGTCTTGGAGCCCTCGGGGGCGTCACAAGAGCGCCCCAAGAAGGCCGGAGAAGCAAGATGGCCGACGACGACGACGACGACGACGGCGGCGACGACGACGCCGACGTCGACGACGACGAAGATGACGACGCCGACGCCGACGACGACGACGAAGACGACGACGACGTCGCCAACGAAGACGACGACGAAGGAGGAGGGGGGACGACGACGGCGACAACGACGAACACGACGACGACGACGACAACGAGGGAGGAGGGAGGACGGCGACGACGCGAACGACGAACAAGGAGGAAGGACGGCGACGCCGACGACAACAACGACGAGGGAGGAGGGAAGACGACGACGTGACGACGACGACGACGACGACGACGGCGATGAAATATGAGGGACGACGACGAGACGCCGACGACGGACGACGACGACGACGACGACGAGGGAGGAGGAGGAAGGACGACCACGGCGACAACGACGACGGAAACGACCACGATGCCAAAGAGGAAGACGACGACGAACACGAGAAAAGACACAGGACGACGTAGGCGACGACGACGACGTCGCGGGAGGAGGGAGGACGGCGACGACGACGACGACGACGACGACGCCGCAAGAGCGCGCGCGCACGCTTTTGTTGAAAATCCATGTTGCGAAACCTTGTGTTTTTGTATGTTTTTTGGACGCGCGATTTTGAAATCCTTCCGAAACCGATGGGTTTTGAAGGATTTCGGCGTACGCGCGCGACGACGCGCGCGTCTGCACTTCGTCCCATTTTTTCACAGAGGATTCTCGCGACGGCACACGCGCAAGGGCGTTCGACAGATTTCGACATGCGCGCGCGACGCCCGTTTGGTAGCATGTTGTGAAAATCTATAAAACCCATGGTTGTCTTAAGATTTCGCAAGAGCTCACGCGTAAGCTTTTTTAGCAAATCAGTGTTACGAAACCATGTGTCTTTGTATGTTTTTGGGGAACTCGATTGCGAAATCCTTCCGGCACCGAAAACTTTTGAAGGATTCCGGCATGCGCGCGCGACGACGCGCGCGTGCGCACTTCGTTCCATTTTTTTGCAAGGGATTCGTGAAAAATTGCTATGTCAGAGCAAAAATGTCACCGCATAGTGTTTGGTCACAAGGGAACCTCAGGGGGGGGATACCGGTTGGCCTGGGACATTGCGATTTCATATTTAGGATGGACGTGTGGTCAGAATCATATGTGATTTACAAACCCGAAAAAGGGGGGGATAACGCCGGGTGGGGGGGTAGAATCTATTCTCTTTTTAGAACAAGGAGAATATATATATATATATATATATATATATATATATATATATAAAAATATGTGGCGCCATCCTTTTTGTGCAATGTCTGGTATACAGCCTATATTGTGCAATATGTGGTGATAGGTATGTGGTGTAATCGATGTGGTGCAATTAAGACGGTACACTGTATGTTGTGTGGACTATGTGGTGCGCAGCCTATGTGGTATAATGCGTGTGGTGAAGCAAAACATGTGCACGATAGATGTGCGATCTATGTGGGGCAACGGCGGCGGCCCCATAGCCGGCAGAGCGCGGACACGGCACACACAAGGGGCGGCGACGAGGCGGCAACGGGGCGGCGACGGCGGCCACACAGCCGACAAAAAAACAAAAACACGGCACATGTTCTGAAAACAGAATTGAAACCCATAACTGCAAACACTGTGTCGTAGAAAAGACATCCGGACCTACTACTCACCACCCCTGGACGCACCCTTGGGATGTGCAATCTGCAAACCATGCTGCCCCATACCGTGGGTTATGGCATGATAACTCGTTGCATCCGAGGTGCTACGGGCACTCCCCCCTTTCAGCCTTAACACCACAAATACGCGCGCACTACTATTCAAAAGCCATCATGTAGATTCCGTAACCGTTGGCTCGAGCCGGCTCTTTTTGGCGCGGGCGCGCCATTGCTTTCGAGCGCGCCACCGTGGCTCTGCATCGTCGGAACCGAAACGAACGCGGACGTGGCAATTAAAAAAGCACGTCCTGGCTAGCGGAGAGCACTGGGGGATGCTGCCGCGTGTCCCTGGGGACGCATCGCAGGTGTCACGGACTCTGGTCTCAACGAGGACGCCAGACAGAACAATGGACAGACTCCGCTACAAGTTCCGCGGAACGCAACGGGCATCGACGATCGAGTGGAACTGCGGGGGCCCTCGGGAACTTGAAAAACAAAACCATTCGTGTTTTTTGTTGTTTCGGGCGGGGGTGGTAATTCGAAGCGAAAACTACAGTGGTGGCCCTGCTGGAATCAGTTCTTGTCACTACATGAAGGATGGGAAGCCCATCGCTCCGCTCAGGCGCCTGCGGCTCGCCGCCCGCCAGGCCCACGTGGCAAGCAAGCAAGCAAGCAAGCAAGCAAGCAAGAAGGCCATGCATCCTGAAGGACGCGTGGGCTGGCAAGGACGTTCATGGTTCCTGCCGTGGTTCGATGCGACAGACAATCGGCGCCAGCGCGGATTGGACTAAACAGCCCGAGAGGAGGAGGAGGAGGAGGAGGAGGAGGAGGAGGAGGAGGAGGAGGAGGAGGAGGAGGAGGAGGAGGAGGAGGAGGAGGAGGAGGAGGAGGAGGAGGAGGAGGAGGAGGAGGAGGAGGACGAGGAGGAGGAGGAGGAGGAGGAAAAGGAAAAGGAGGAGGAGGAGGAGGAGGAGGGGGAAGAGGGGGAGGACCTGCATGCAATGAAAAATGATGGAAGTCAAACCATTATGTACACTTTTGTTGCCCACTGCTGCCAGGGGCGGCCTCGCCGCCGAGCGGTCGCCCAGCTTCGCGGGGTCCCGTCCGGTTTCCACAGGACCTCCCTGACAAGGGAACCGGCGCTGTTGTTCGCGATCTTGTTGTACAGGGCGATCTGCCTCGAGGCCAGGATGTTCGAGAGCGGTTGTGCTACTTCTCTGTGCAGGACATCATCGTTGCTGACCCTTGATACATACGAACACGGGATGCCCATGATGCGCTTCAAACTCCTGCAATGAAAAGCATCCAGCCGGGCCCTCTCAGCGCGTAGTAGCCAGACAGAATCGAGAAAGTATAACAGCTTGCTCAACACACACGCCTCGTAAATCTTCATCTTCCGCGCCAGACATGCGGAATAATGGGACCACATCTTCCGAAGGTTGTTGAAAACCCCAAGCGATTTTCCAATGAACCGTGAGTGTTATGATGCCGCCTTTCCGTCGCAAGTGATGAACCAACCTAAATAAACGGCTTCCCGCACCGTGCTGATAGGACCGCCATCTGGCCTCGTGATACTCATTCCTGTTGAGAACTGTATCTGAACAGTCTTATCCATATTCAGCTCTAAGCCGTACTTCGCGCCCTCCTCGACGACGGCGTTGAGAATTTGTTGCGGGTTCTCTTGGTGCTGTGAGGCCAACAAGGTGTCGTCAGCATATAGAATATCCCTGGTGACCAAGGACGCCGGCCCATCACGAAGATCAGCGCGGTCGAACACGTCGTGAAGGAGGACGCCTTGCACAGCGATGAAGAGGTAGGGCGATAGAGGGCACCCTTGGGCGATCCCTGCGCGCTGACGTCTTTCTGAGGATGATCCCGTGTGGTCGTGCGTGACGAAGCACCCTCTTTCGCACAACGCCCCGATCATGCTCACCATCTCCGCAGGCAGCCCAAATCTGTGCAACGCCGCGCACATTACGTCTGGCTTCACTCTGTCGAAAGCTTTCGCCCAGTCCAGCATGAGAAGCAGCGTGGCGCCCGAGTTGTTGTTGTGCGCAGCGTCTATAATGCGCCTCACCAACATCAGAGCTTCTGCCGCGCCACGACCCGGTCGGAAACCATACTGCGAATTCCGCATCCGGCGTTCGGCACCACCACCGATCAACCTGTGGTGCAACATGGAAGCAAGGACTTTGTATCCTACTGGCAATAGCGAAATTGGTCGTTAGTTTGCTGGGAGCGC